TAAATCATTTTCTATGTTAAAAATTTTTAATCAGCTCATTTGATAAATCAACAAAGAATTGTTTGCTCATTTGATAAAATGAACAAAGAATTGTTTGCTCATTTGACAAATGAGCAACTATCCATATGATATCCATAAGACTATGATGCCAAATTAGCTTAGGCCATATACATACTCCAACTAGACATTAACTGAATGAGAGCCAGGAAAATTAAAACCAACTAGGTGTTTGTTCTTGTAGTTGTAACTGATGTTTGCCCCTTAGCTGGAATTTTGGCAGCCATAAAGCGCAACTCGTTGGCGATTTTTGTGAAGTTCGGCCTCTGTAATGGGTCTACAACCCAGCATCTCCCCATCAGTGATCTCCACTCTGGGTCACAATTCACGGGAACAGGTGGTCTCAAGGTGTTGCTCACAATTCCTCCTATTTACATGTTGCACAACAAAATGGAGTCAATATACCTACATTATCCTCAAAACCCAAAACCCTTTCCAGACATAACTTTTCACAACGGAAAAGAATCTATGACCTAGGGAAATTTTATTTTCTCTAGCAAACTTTAAAATTGCAAACCGGGCACCCAACTAAATGAGGCTTGGATGTCATTAGTTTCTACAGTCATCTACCGAAACCAAATAAGTATTACAGCAATAGCAATTTTGGTACAATACCAAACTTCAGTCAATACCATTTTTTGCCATGTTTCTCAATTGCAAGTGCTTAGCTGCTTAGGGTTGAAGTTATTGCCATTCTAACAGAAAGAGTTACTCTCTGCACATCCACCCCGCACCCAAAAAAAAAATAAAAAAATCGTTGTGACATAGCTCAGAGAAAAGATTTTAAGGAATTACCAATAATAGCCCCATAGTGCAGGTCAACATATGGCTCTTCTCTAGTGAGAAGCTCGCACAAAACAATACCAAAAGAGAACACGTCAACCTAGCAATATGACAGATTAAAAAAGTCAGCACTAGTCTACTGCTGTCGGAAATTATGTTATAGAAACCATAAAATTGGATTTAGAAAAATGACAACCTTCTCAGAGACTAGACTGCTGCTGCCACTCAGAAGCTCAGGTGCCATCCAAGGAAGGGTACCTCGCACTCCCCCTGACATTAATGTTTGACATTTCACTTTGGATAGACCTAAATCCCCGACCTGCTACCAAAGAAGGAGTCAAATATCACTTCATAGTACTAAATCATAATCTCATCCAAGTTCAACATAAAGCATTCGGTACATCAAATTTTCCCATCCTGTAAAATCTTTCATCCTTCCCACTCCCCCACCTCCTTTACTTCTCTATCATCCCAGTAGATAAAAAATAATGATGCACCAATGAGGCAATGTCATGGTGCAGTCATAGCCCTCGAGTATTATGACCCAAGAGGTCATGTATTGATTTTTAGTTTCCTGGGAGAATGATCAAAGTTAAAATACACCGTTCCCCGAAGCAGCTTTAGTTTTTACCTTTAGAAATTGTTGGCAGAGTAAAGTCAATATGATTGAGTGTTCGGTGGCACCACCAACTCAACCACAACAATTGCACCAAGTCCTACCCCCCCCCCCCACACCACCAACCTAACCACAAAAGACTAGAAGGTTATATTTCACATTCTGACACGATGATGGGTCAAGATATTTGAAGTCTAAATGTTAACCATACCCAAAAAAAAAATTGCTCTCAGTAATGTGCAGGGTGATGGAGATAAAAGACTAAAATCACAAATGTGAGGCATAATTCACATATCTTTTTAAACTGAGTTTTCTATGAATTTCTTTAATGAATGATTAAAGAAATGTTTGCTCATTTGGCAAATGAGCAACTAACTATTTGCTCATTTGACAAATGAACAACTAAGTTTTTGCTCATTTGTTAAATTAGCAACTAAGTATTTGCTCATTTGACAAATGAGCAACTAATTATTTGCTCATTTGACAAATGAGCAACTAACTATTTGCTCATTTGCTAAATGAGTAAAAAATAAATTGCTCATTTCCCAAATGATCAAAAATTTGATTGCTCATTTCCCAAATGATCAAAGAAGTGTTTGCTTATTTTACAAATGAGTAACTAATTATTTGCTTATTTAATGCTGCACAGAGAAAATAAATATCAAGGTCTCAGTCATCTGACACACACTAGATGCAACAGATTGAAGAAGAAAACTATGAAGTATTTAACAAATGTAAAAGTTTATGTTTGAGACTATATATTTTCAAACACTGAATATCTGTTTAACAGTTTTGCAGTCCCCATAAAGCAACATTGCAGCAGTTGTAATCTCAACCGTCAGACAGTTATTAGAGTAGCAAACAGATAAATCAGCATCAATATCAGAAAGCACAAAGTAAATGTTAAGTAAATTGGAAGGTGAGGCTGCTCTAAATGCAGTTACTTGTTAAAAGGAGACAAATAGCCTATATATGATATATTACTTGTCAAAATAACGCAGTACAACGCAGCAACATCAAGCATAAAGCATATCTATAGAACCAAATTTACATCGAATGATCAATTTTATTTACTCACTTTTCTACTCACAAAAAGCACTGGAATAAGTAAAGTATTTTTCATAACATCCTATTTCGGACATAAAGCCTCACTGAATTCTTACCTATCTTCGACATTTCCCCAATCAGATGCCAAACTAACAGCATATCCTCGATCATACAATGGCGAGCAATCATTATTCACAGATAATGACTCTTTCCGTTGTCTTTTCTGGACATGGCCATCCATTGTAAATGACTAGCATCCAAAAGAAAATATATGTTAGGTGAAACCTTATATAAAAAGTCAATTATAGACCAGGCAGATGCAGGAGAAGGGGGGTTGGGGGGGTGTTGATGTAGAAAATCATCAAAATCAGAAGAAAGCCAACAAGCAAAATAGTATAGCATGCATTTTCTAAAATGTTAGGAACCAAGCTGCACCACACAACCTCATAATTATCTTATCTACTAGTATTTGAGAGACACTGCTTTCTTGTAGAAGAGAACAACCTACCATTCTCCTTGTCATAAATCACCATAGCATAATAAGGCAAAGAGAGCCTCAGCAACTCAAAGAAGAACAAGAAGAATTTCTAAAATACAGATTGAGTATTCCTATCAAATTATATTTCTAAGATATTTGAGAAATGAAATAGTTCACCATCCAGATATATAGGCAAACGAGTGTGGAATTCACCACTTATAATGAAAGATCAGTATTTGACACTAAATCATCAGTACCAACCAGCAATTTGACATAGATCTTCATGCAAGGCAAATTGACAAATCACGAAAAAAACAAATTGATGAATCGAAAAAAAAAATTGAACTACTTAAATCGAACAAAGAAATCTGCAGAAAATAATTAAAAAAACGCATAGAATCGCACAAATCAGGAAAAAATCAATAAAAATAAAATTGATGAAATTGGCATATAAAATCGCACAAAATTGAACAAAAAACCAGATTATGAAATTGCACAGGAAGTCGAAAAAAAATCAAACAAAAATTAAACAGGAAACGCACAGGAAATTGAACAAAAATCAGAAATTAACACGCAATTGAAAAATATTTTGTAAATTTTGATGCTAAGATTAAACTAAGATTGTTGAATTTACAAAATTTACAAAACTAAGAGAATTACAAACCTCAATAATTTATGGAAATTGATACTCGTGAACAAGAAGAGGAGAGAAAAATTGTCGAGTTTAAAATTTTAATTAGACGCCATTGATAAAACCTTGAAGCTTCGTGGTGGAGAAAGAGCAGAGCAGAAATTGAGTGGCGGAGAGAGAGCAGAGCAGAAATTGAAGCTTCGAAACAGTTAAGCATGGTTGTTAGGGAAGGTTTATATCATTAATCTTAGCTGTTGGATTTATTACAATCTAATGGTTGAGATTTGTCCTCATATAAGGGATAGGTTCTCACATAGAGGGTGGTTCTCACCGGATCCCGACCCTATATATATATATATATATATATATATATATATATATATATATATATATATATATATATTTTACTTCCAGAATTTCAAAAATATTAAAAAATAATTTCTAGAAGATAAAAATATATTTAAAATAATTAAAAAATTATTTTTAATTAAAATTACTAATTAAAAATAAATAATCTCAACAGTTTATTTTAAAAAATTATGGTAGTCAAAAGTCATAAGACTATATTAGAATCATCACATTCATTAGGTCAATTTGAACGGAATAGCTGATTATATTATCAACATTAAATTTAGCCCATTAAAAAAAGAGACATTTGTATAAAATCATGCACTGTTATGATAATTAGAGTACTAGTCACAGGTCGTGCTACTATATGCACTTCTAAATGATAGTTCATGTTGGTGAGGCTTTGCCTAAACTTAATCCAACTTTGATCATCCTTATATACATTCACCATTCACATCCAAGATTGTTAGCCCTAAATATACCGGTTAATGTTTACCATCAAAAGATAGAGGTGAATAGGTGATGGTATAAAATTGGACAAGGCCAAAGTTTAGACCAATTAGTAGCCCATTTTGGGCCAAATGTTCAAGTTGTGTAGATGCACTTATGACCTCACTTAGACTATAGCAAAATTTGACGTGGAATAAAATAAAATTAAATATTTCTAAAATTGATTTATTTTCTATAAAATGCAATTTCAAAATTGTAATAAATATTACCGGTGTTTCATTTTAACTAACACATTAATGAAAATATTGCATTTAGAAAATAGACGTTCAATAATGTTGACATTTAGAAACAGACGTTTAGAAAAATAGATGTTTAGAAAAATATGACATGAACTTATAACATTAAGTTTCATATGTAGCTGGCCATAACGTGTGGCCGGGTTACTTGGTCAGGAGTTAGTCGATCGGTCAGGGGTTATTTAATTAAGGTTTACTTGGTCAGTTAGGGGTTACTCGGCCGATCAAGGATAAGCCAATCAGACTAATTGCCCTATGACTAGCCACACAGAAAACGCGGTATAAAATTGAAAATACTCGTGGCCGGCAGGACGTATACTTCTCTTCTTGACTCGAGTCTTAAACTCTTACCGTGGTAGTCTATCTCCCAAAAACACAATCTTTCACTGCCACCAACACCACTAAGGCGGCGCCGGCGAACGGAATATGGCCACTAGGTTTAATTTTTCTGATTTCAATCTCATTTATACTGCATTTTCCATTTTAATTTCTGATTTTTAAGTTTCAATTAATCTCAATCATCTTCCATTTCTTCTCATTAGATTTTTAATTTTTCTGACTTTTCATCTTTAGTTTAGTTTTTGTATAATTATAGTCTACACTTGTAAATGTGAACTTGAAATTGATATGAATTGGAATTGAATTCAATATAGGTTTGATAAAATTGAAACTTGTGTCATACTGTGAATGATATTTTTTGTATTGATTTTGAAAATGAATTTGAACAAACTTGTTGATTAATTGGTAATGGAATGATTCATTTGTTGGATTAACTATGTTAAGGAACTATTATTGATTTTTTTAGTTGATTTTCTGCCCAATTTCATTGTAATTATCTAGTGGTAACCATGTTAATGTTGTAGTATTATGGAAGTTGTTTTGGATTTGTTATTTGCAATTGTAGATTGTTTTATTGGAGTTATGATTGATGGTGTTGTGGTTTAATTGCGGTAATTTAGTTAAAGCCAAATGCATGATGCTCGTAAGTTATGGAGTAAGAAGTTAAAGTCGATGGCAAAGCAACTTAACCTTATATGATTAATGTGCCTTGCAATTGAATTAATCGAGTGCTGAAATTTGGATACTAGTTAATGTTATCATCCCCGGGCTGCAGAATCGTTGATTACCTGTTCACGGGACTAGCTTGTTCTCATAGGGAGCAGTGGAGATTCTTCTTTATAAGCTTGTTATGCAAATATTGAATTTGCTATGTGAATTGAATACCGTTGACAGTCAGATAATTACTCTGTATAAGACAACTAGATAGCAAAAAGTAGAATATTGCACAATTTGAACTCCTACTGACCCCTTGGAAATTGAATTTTGCTTGGCAGGTTGTGAATACAGTTGGCTATGAATCTTCACTAAATTAGATGGGGAATATTGGACTTGTGGGTTACAAATAACATAATCACCCACCAGCATAAGTTTTTCTTTGTAAGCCATGACGGTCAAGAGCAACATAAGTGCTCGTTATGCAACTTAAATCTGTCTTTGGATTCCCCTTGTGTGTTAGCAGAATGAAAGTATTTACTTCTATCTACAGATGTGCCAAACTGTCTAAGCACACAAACTTGGATAGTAGTTCTATGATCCCAAGTGTTAAACTAGGCTGTATTAGAACTTTGAGTACATCCTCAGAGACACGAGAGGTGGAAGAGTACTTGGATAGACTAAAGAATTTCGAGAAAGTAGGAGTACCAGATAATGCTGGCACTGAAACTGATGATGGGTTTGATATGGGTCGTATGAAGCGCTTGATGGACTGCCTTGGAAATCCACAATCTAAGTTCAAGGTCATTTTTCCTTTTCTTATCTCTTTAGCTTTTATTGATTTTGAATCTTAATCTAGATTTTTGTCATTTAGTCTTTTTGGAAGAAGAGTTCTTGCTGGCTATTTGATATTATAATTTTGTAATCCCATCCATTACCATATTGATTAAAAAAACTTTTTCCTCAATATTGTAATCATGCTGTTGTAATCATGGTGTGTATGGATATCTTGATAGAGGAATTTGGAATGAAATTGATGACAAGTTTTTATTTCATCGAATAGTCCTATCAAAATGGTTACTTTGTCATCATTTATATGACGACTAAAGCCCCCTTTCCAACTATCAGCATTTGTTATCTTTATGATTTGCCCAAGTGCTCATGAATCTTGTTTTGTCATTAATTTATAAATGTGGTTTGCCTGCCTATCAATTGATGCAGACAGTTCATGTTGCTGGGACTAAAGGCAAGGGTTCAACGGCTGCATTCTTGTCTAATATTTTGAGGGCAGAGGGGTATCGTGTGGGTTGCTATACAAGGCATGTAATATCTTTTCTTATGCATTTTCTTTAAAAAAAAAATAGTAGTTAGAGCTTTGGTCAGATTTGGTCCAGAAACTATTTGTTGCTCCTTATTTTTATGGTAATTCCTATGTACAAGACTACAATCAATTTTAAAGTTTTGCATAAGACTTCATAAAAAAAGCCTTATAGAGTAAAATTTGGCGTGAACTTATTTTTTAAGTTTATTAAGATTAGCTTTATGTTCAGAAGCTTTGCTTATTTACTTAACTCACTATGTATCTCTCTATTTGCACAGCCCTCATATACGAACTATTAGGGAGCGTATATCAGTAGGAACACAAAATGAGCCAGTTGCAGCAGATTTGTTGTATTCTCTATTTCTTAGGATCCGGAAGTCTCTTGATCAGGCAGTGGCACATGAGTCTGGATGCCTAAGTCATTTTGAGGTATATACTTGTTTACTACAAGGTATGAGTTGCTAGAAAAGATATGTTTTATGGAAAAGGAAATTATTTATCTTCTGTTATGGAGTGAAAGATTGATAAGTTATAGCGTACTTAGTAAGACTTATGATAATAGTTTTTAAAATGAGCTGGTTTCCCACATCCTACATTGTGTTATTGTTAGAAATGCATCCGCATGTAATGTGCAAGATGCTAGCTTATCAAATGAGCACCTGGGCTTCAGGGCTCCACACCTTCAATCTTGAGGTAGGGGTTTCAAATACAATGTGCTTGTTAGTTTGGGTAGTAAGTGTTGGTTTTCTCTGTAAGTTTTTCTAACTCCCCCCTTCCCTCCACCCTGGAATTTGCTTCTTGCTTTTGTCTAATGGACTGGGTTGGGATCCTTGTTACCTACCTTACCGCTGTTTGTCCCTTGACTCATTATAATTTGTTTGTTGTTGTGGTATGGAGGTTGAATCTAGTACAAATTGACCATTGAGGGGATTGATCACCTTAAGACATACTCTCTTGATGGCTTATCGTGTGGTTAAGAAAATAGATTGTCTTGTTCATTCTGCATTTATGTTTCTCATGCTAAAGAATATTCTCTCCCTGTGTTACTAGGCCTCTTCCTAGGTTCTGTCCTGGTTAGAGTTGTCTCGTATTTATAGTTTATGACAAATAACACGTTAGTTCTTGTATCTGTTAAAAGGTTTTGACTTTTGAATACATATCTTGATGTCCTACATAGTCAATAAGGAAAACTGGAAAATTAGAGTAACAAAGCTCTTAGTTTCATTCAACATTTGGAAGTTTTCTCTTCATCTGCACTCCTATGATTATTGTTGTAATTTTTTCTTTTCAACTGATGAATGGAAATCTTTTAGGTCCTTACAGCTATAGCATTTGCTCTGTTTGCTGATCAGAATGTTGATATTGCAGTTGTTGAGGTAATTGCTTGGCTCCACAGTCTTTATATGTAATTACTACTTAATTTGGATATGTCGACATGTGCAATTATGTTCTTGTTGTTTATGTGTGCTTATGTTAGGCTGGGTTAGGAGGAGCACGGGATGCTACAAACATAATCACAAGTTCCGAGCTTGCTGCTGCAGTTATAACAACTATAGGAAAAGAACATCTGGCTGCTCTTGGGGGTTCCTTGGAAAGCATAGCATTGGCAAAGTCAGGGATTATCAAACAGGGTCGCCCAGTTTGGTGCCTTTTCTTTCTTTGTAATTATCTATATGAGATGATTGAATATAATCATATGACATGCTACCGGTTATATTTTATGCAAATTTTAATCTAAGATCTGAAGTACTTTCAATCTGCGAGTTGCCTAATGCAGGCTGGATTTCAGGGCTGAGATAGCTTTGATCTTAAGTTAGTCACTGGTTTGAGATGTTTGTGGCAGACCTTGGGAGTTTTGTAACATATTATCTGCATTATGTTTCTATATTTGTGAGGTGTTTAACTTTCCATCCCTTATTTATCAAAAAAAAAAAAAAAAAAGAAAAAAAGAACTTCTCAGCTTTTTCAATACCAGGATTTTGCTATCTTGCATGCTAGTTTATATGGCAAAGCTAAAAGATAATAAGCCTGTTGTTAAGCACAACAATGTTCGACTCTTACACGACTTCAAATTTTGAAAAACAAAAATTATTCTGCATTGCTTCTATATGATCCAAATATTTTTGCAGCCACATAACGTGTCTGCTTAATTGCTTATATCTATGTTATTTTCTTGACTTGGTTGAACTTTTTAGGTAATTCTTGGTGGCCCATTTCTTCCTCACATTGAACAAATTATACGTGATAAAGCTCTATCAATGTTCTCGCCGGTTGTATCTGCTTGTGATTCTGGAAACAGAAGTGTCATTAATGGCTTTGGCATCATCAATGGTGAACAACGCCAGTCTTGTGATTTACTGCTTCATATTCAGAAGGACATACCATTAGTATGCACTCCATTAAATGCTTTCTAATTGATTATATCTTTAGTTAGTGATGTTGGACTTCCTCAAAATAATTAAAGCCTTGCTGTGGAACATTAATATTTATCATACAACTCTGTTATTAACTAAATTAAATATTTCTTTTCACGCAGTGTATTGAGTTATGTGATGTGAATCTATCATTGCTTGGGCAACATCAACTTCAGAATGCTGTGACTGCAACTTGTGCTGCACTATGCCTCCATGATCAAGGTAAGAATTTCTGATTGTATTTTGATAGTTTAGTTGCTCAGTTATACATGGATCATGTAGCCAACATTTCTAATACAACTTTACAAGTGTGTGTCTGAGATCCATCGTGTTTGATATTTCATAAAATTAATCTCAATGATTTTTCAAGATGTGATGTATGTCGTTATGCCTTGATGGTCAAACATATCATCATCCCAAATACCTGAACCCTAGAACTGTATGTTTTTTCCCCCTTGTTAAAAAATTAATTTAACATTGCTTGATTTTTTCTCCTTGCTATCACTTCTTTTCAAGTTAAGTAATGCACAGACCACATGAATTGGGGAGGGCTGGGGGGGTGGGTGGGGGGGGGGGGTGAGAGAGAGGATGTCGATATACTGCCAATCCGTTTTGAATCCCTGTTTCATACTTCGGACAGATGGTCTACTAGATTGGTGGGAGTGCTACTATTCTTCCACTTGAATTTTGCCTCCTTGCTATCACTTTCTTATCATTGTCTGCTCTGTTGTTGTTTAGGTTGGAGGATTTCTGAAAGATCCATTCGTAGTGGGTTGGAGAGCATGCAGATGCTTGGGAGAAGCCAATTTTTGAAGAAAGAAGAAATTGATGCTCTTGGACTTTCTGGATCAATGGCATTGCTCGATGGAGGTTTGTTACTTTAATTCTTTTCCATCTATGTTTAAGTCTATAATAATGGTAGTGGATGGGATTTAAATCGCTCTATTAGTTTGAGTTTGTTAATTTTACTCTTTTCACGTATTTTCAAATCTATGTAGTAGTAGTGGTGGGCAGTACTCAAATCACACCAAGTGTGGGTTGGTAATCTCTTCAGCATTTCATTGCCAGTATTTCTTCACTTTGTTCCCATCATCACTTTGTTGCAGTAATAGTGAACACTCTGGACAGTCTCTTGATTGATTGTGATTCTTAACTGTTATCATGTAAAGTTGCTAACGTCTTAATTTCTCTAGATGCCATGACCAGATATTACTTGTTGGCTTGCTTTTGATTACATTCGTGTGTAATGGTTTGGCTGTGAATGCATTTGAAATTTCTTTCTTCCTAGTTTCCTGTAGATTAAACATCAGCTTCTTTGAGGCAAGTTTGGAAGGGGGGAGAGGGGAGGGGAGGTTGGGGGAGGAGGTGAATAAGGTGAACTAAGAAATAAGCTGAAGCAAAACTTTATCATTTCTCTGTGCAAAGTTTTTGCTAAATCCTTACTGTGTACACCAGAGATTCTATTCTCGGAAGAAGAGTGGAGCTTCAGGTTTCTCAGCTGCAGCCCTCCAGAATAGAAAATAACTTCTCTAGAAGTCTGTTAATACCACCACAAGGCAGTATTCATACGTGGTTGGTTTATTAAGATACATTAGCTTGATATTTGGGGTCCTTTTTTTTTTAATTAAATCTTGAAGCCACTACTTTGTTGAAGCCTTGGCATTCTGATTTTAATATGATCTTACTAACAGTTTAATTTGTGTTTAATCCTGTACCTTTTTCTGATTTCAGCTCACACTCAAGAATCTGCTAAAGCATTGGCAAATACGATTTCTACCGTATGCCAGAACTCTAGGTTGGTCCTTGTGGTTGCAATGGCAAGCGACAAAGATCACAGTGGATTTGCAAAGGAACTCCTTATGGGTTAGTTATTTGCCTATTGGTGGATAGATTCCCACTCAGACCAAGATTAGAGACTTATAAATCATAATTGGGCACTTATATTTTGCTGCAAATTTTTTACGTAAAGTGTTGTTAATACTATTGACGTTTCTGGTTCATTATTTGGGATGACTACTTATTGTTTCCTAGGGATATCACCTTCTGTTTTCTGTATACATTATGCTGTAAAAGGCTAGCAAATTATGCAAAATGTGATTTTGTTTTTCTGTTTCTGTTCAGCTATCAATAGCTTACTGAAGGGACATACAGGGTTTAAAGAGAGCTATAGTTTGACTGTGTTTTTAATTGCAGGTCTACATTTTGAAGCTGTTTTCCTGACAGAAGTAGATATTGCAGGAGACAAGTCTCGAAGCACTTCAGCATCGTTTTTGAAAGATATCTGGATTAAAACGTGCAGAGAACTTGGTATCGAATTTATTTTTGAAGATTTAAAAAATCTGAAATTGGATGCATCAGTTCATTATGTTGGAAATTCAAACAAAATGATATTAGCTGCTGAATGTTCGTTACCAAATTGCTTGAAGGCTAGTAATAAGATTCTCAAAGCAAGAACAGGGGACCAATCAGGTGTAATTGTAGTTACCGGATCCCTACATATAGTTTCATCTGTATTAGCTTCTATCCATGGTTAAGCTGCAGTTAGGAACAAGGTATCTTCCTCACTATGTTGTTCTTTCCTTGTCTGAAATTCAAAAGTAGTTTTCTATACCAGAGCCAAATTATTATGACTATTTGTTATTTCATCATTATTCAACATTTGGGGCCCAAAGTCTTTGAGATTCGTAATTTTTGAGCAGTTGTCTTACCTAGATTAAGTCAGTAGTAAGAGTAAAAGTAATGTCTTTATAGTTTATAGGCTTATCGGAGCTCCAGATGTTGAGTGTGATATTACGAATTCGTGGCGAATGTTAGCTAGGTTTGTGACTTTGGAATTTCTGTGATATGTTGAATTAAATTATAGAATTGCTACTAATCTACTATACCTCTCACTGAACAATAAACTAGGTTTTGACTCTGGGTAATACCAAAGCTTTTTGTTTATCTAGATTCATTGTATCTAAGTATCTACTGCTGTGTGTTTAACAACTAACTTCTGGTAAAAATATAACAGGTCTCAATTATTACAGTTATAGTATCAGTAGAGTGGTAGACAATGGTTGCAGTATTCTTTCCTCACTTGGTGTCCTTTAACTTTTAAGTGGGTTGAGTAAAGTAAATTTGGTATGACTGTCCCAACAACATTCAATTTCAATCTTTGAAATCTTTTCATACCTGAGAATGGTTTTCAGAGTATGTCTGTCTTACATTTTTTTTTACTGTTTTGGTTCCTGTGTTCCCATTCACGTTGTCAGTAAAAATTACTACTGGTGCACTAAGTTTTTTTTCTGGTTCATTGCATAATGAAGAATCTACTGCAGTTCCTATTTCCGCTCCTTGGTTTTTGCTTTTACTGGCAGGCATTCGAAGCGTAGCTTATCGGCTACTTGATTAGCTCTGTTGCTTATCGACATTCTACGGCGTGGACTCCGAAATTTCAAATTAGGCCAAAATCAGGCCTTAACAGTCCAAAAACTAGCTACATTGAACCTTCATATGATCATATCCATACTGGTACGGTACCTGGTCCCCTTGGCTTTGGTAATTTATACTCATTCAATGACTAAATGTAGATACCCAGTTGAAGAAATAAAGGAGTAGGAGCAAAAGGATTTGGGTTTTGTTTCTTGCCTTGTATTCAATTTCATTTAAAACCAAATTGTTCTCTTGCATTTGGTGCTTAGTTATTGCAGTCACAGTTTTCACATCTAAGTTTTTCTTTTTTCTTTTTCTTTTTTTTTTTTTTTTTTTTTTCGCCGAAATTTTTAGCAGCAGCAGCCAGCAGGTGTCACTATCCTGTTGAATGAGGTGGTGTATTCATGTTTCAAAATCTAGCATTCATATTTTATGATTTTTACGTATCGTTTTTGAAATGTATGTTAGAAATTGCATTAATGCACCTTCTCTTTACTAGCATTAGGCCACCTTTTAAACTAGAGTTATCAATTACAGATTTACAGGGTATAACAATGTGCCAATGTGGTAATTTCTGAGAGGGAAACCCGTTACTCCATTTGGGAAATTTTACTCCCAAAATTCTAAAGATAAACATGAGTCAAGTCCTAATACAAAATTTTTAGATCAACTTCAAATTAACCTTGAACATTTAGGACATATACTCTGTTTTGAGGGCAAAGTCAATATGGTACAATTAAAAAAATAGAGGAAGTACGGAGTACAGTTTATGTAAAAAAAAAAACGCGGTGACTTCGTAAAAGTCCAAAGTTAGCAAGTGGTAGGCCGGATTGGCGGTAACTTATGTCCTTGTAGTAGCAAAATTTGTTTGTATATGGTTGTCTGCACATATTAAAGAGTAAAAGGGTAGTAAATGGTAGTTGGGTAACATATTGAGTGATGCTAATAATATGATCGATCTTTGTATTCATTCATGATGGTTACACCCACTGTAATTTACCGGCGAAGTTTGCGGTCCGACACTTTGGTTATACGAGTAATAGAGAAGGTGGCCTTTTTATATGATAGTAACCCTTTTATAATGTTATCATTGCTTTAAGCTGCACCACGTTATTTGTTTTTATGCTCTTCTTTTTTGCATGTTGCTATTATTACTCAGTATCTACCGTTACTATAATCCCTCTGTTATTAACGGTTGTGAATGTGAATGAGAATTGCTAGATTTGAAACAGCTTTTTCCTCAGAGAACATTCATGTTATATAGCACTATGCATTGCATTTATTGTCAGCTGATAATAGGGCATGTATTGGACTATACTAGGGGTGTTTAAAACCAGTTTGGGCCAAAGAAAACCGGTCTGGTCTTCGGGTTGAGAAATTTATTTTTTCGGTCTCCAGTATGATTCAGTTCAAAACCCTTTATATAAAACTCAATAGTGTATGAGAGACATTGCGGGTGCTCTACTAATTTTTGTCATTTCTCGGTAAAACATAAGATTTTTCACCGTACTAAAAAAAGTCAAAACTTGTACACAATAAGTAGTGTATTGTGTTATCTGCGTAAATGTAAAGTAAATGTCACAAATGGTGGACTTTTTTATGTGATTTGGACTTATAAAATGCCTAAACGTAATACAATACACTCGTTGCATATGAAATTTCCCGTTGTTGTCGTAGTTAAGTTAGTGGTGCTCTATCTTAGGCTCTTAGCAATCAAGAGATGAATGTTAGTCAACCAGTTTGGTCTGCGAAATATTATTGTTACTGTAGGGAAAAAATACAGTACTCCGTAAATTATTTAAATTGTAGGTATAGTACTATAGTAGTTCATTTATAAAAACATTCTTTGGGAGCTATTAATTTTTTAACCAGTGGACCAAACAATAGTACTACTACTGTGAAAAAAGGTACTCTTACATAATTAATTAAGGAGTATTTAATAATTAATTATATTTGCATAGTTTTGTACCAAACAGAAACCGTGGTTACAATAGTCACATCAATACAATGAAGTTGATCAGTTAGCAAAAGCTCTTCTATTTTTGTCTTCCTTAATTACATTTGCATATTATGGTGCTATAATAAATTTTGACAATTAAAGATGTTTTTGTAATGTTCTGAGTTTGGTTTTCTGCTTGCAGTGTTAACCATGATTCATGCTAATAATCACCAGGATTGGAGAAATTTGATTGAATATATGAGTACGTACGTATGTTGTAGAAAGAAAATTGTATAAATAGAATTTACGAACTTCCTATCACATTCGTTCAAAAAAAAAAACTTCCTCTCACATGTAAGCCCATAAATGTTGCATAGTGAAGTACCAAGTCAAATTTGGTCTAGTGGAAAGAAGAGTGCTATTGACAGTTTGGGGGGAGTGGGATTTCCTTACTTTCCCCACTCACCCAAATTGTCTAGCCTGATAACCCAGACTGGGTTGACCCGTGAAGGGTTCCGACCTAGTAGGACCTCTCATCTTACCAACCAAAAAAAAGTTATTAAACTATACCAACTTTTTTTTTTTTTTTTTTTAGTGGAATAAATTACACTATTACTATTACGAGTAATACGAAAATTATTTTCGAACAGTAAAAGTATGGGAATGTTATTTCCAATAGTTGAGCAATGATTTAGTAGATTTTGTACATGTACTTTTTGTTATAATATCATCGTTTTAAAACACAAAATCATAGAATTAAGTGGTGTGGTGTCTTAGCCTTGAAGGAAGAATACAGTGGTTTAGATTATTCATGCATGCAAAAATACTGTAGTTCAGATGATGGTGTGTGTTCTTGTCTCCCAATGTAAGATCCTCGTAATACTCCATTTTTATCATTAAATTTATAATGTTGGTTGCGAAAATCAACAACGGTTTTCTCATATTTAATGTTGATAGATGATTTCTTTCTGGTCCTGGTCTCATGCCAGGAAGCTAAGGATCATAACTCTCCTCTTTCAAATTTTAAACCTTCATTTTAATTTTGATTTTTCGAAATATATTTCTACACATAACAACTAATAGAAATTAAATGTTGTTAAAAAACAAAAAAAGAAAAAAAAAATATAGAAATTATAGTGATTTTTGTTAGCCGAAATAATCTTTGTGAAATGGATCTTTATTGATTTAAACTTATCTTTATGATTGAAGTTACTGTAATTTTTACTAATTCACTTGAAAGAGTGTGTGGGTTAATAGGTCACTTTCCTTTTTGATGTGCTAAGGGAGCCGCAACGGCAGTGATGTAAAAGGGATTTCAAATCTTGATAAACACCCCACTATTTTAATCAACTAAGGTAGTTGATATCCACTATCAGGTCAATTTCTAAATTAATTAAGTTTATGTATTATGTAGCCCGTCTCCTATTAATAAAAATAAGGGGATTAATCGTTGTGGATATTGTCAAGATCTTGATAGTGGCCTTATGATACGGTGTGATGGTAGAATGTATATTTCATTAAATTCAATAAGATTTGAAGTAGATTTTGTTCATATATTGAAAAATAATGAATGAAATAGAAATCCATGAAAATGGGCCTAGTGGGCTTTCAAATGAAGAGCAGCAATCAGCTCAACTCCCCGAGGTTAACGCTTAAACATAGATAAGGACTATACATTTTCATGTGGACCTCCCTTTCTATATCTGAATATTTTGCAATCAAATTTTTGGGCCCACTTTCTGTTCATGGACCCCATTTCCATGATTCAGCCAAACCCGGGAACTTTTTTGGACTTTTGCCATCCCCAAATAATTACCGTCACAAATTTGTATGGAGTACTTCGATTTGAAAAAAAAATTTATTCTTATGAAAAATTTAATTAGAGTTTTTAATCAAAAATATACATTTTTTTTTATTGATTCTAGTATATGTATGATTCTAACATGCGATGACTACTGCGGTACTTCGTAATTACTTTAATACGAATAAATAATTACCATTAAATTTGCAAATTAATAGAATATCATCCATTAAAGTAGTCTACATGTTGTATTTATTTACCCCATTTGACTTTTTAGAATTTTAAAATTACTATTTAAAAATATAAATTTCTTCCATTCTATATGTGCTAAAATTATAAATATTTGACATTCTTAAAATTGACATTGTAATGAATTATTATAAGATTCCACATAACAATATTTCTTATAGATTAATAAGAATTTATAGTCAAAGTTTTTAAAGTTTGACCCCAAAAAATATAATGGGACAAAAAAAAAAAAAAAAAAACCCTCCATTTATATTATTTTTAACTGTATTTTTTAAAGTAGGAAAAGATTAAATACAATTTCTAAAATTGTGCAAATTTAGGAATTCATGACAAAAACACATGTAAATCAGTGTAATTTTTGTTTATTATTTCTAAAAAAAAAAGTACAGAGTAAATATATTAAAAAAAATAAACATTAATTACACTTATCTATACGTGTTTTTGTCATAAATTCATAAATTTACACTATTTTAGAAAGTGTATTTAATGCTTATATGCGGACTGCATATAATATTATCCTAAATAAATAAATAATTAAAATATACAAGTATAAATTTCACCTAGCTAGGTCCACAAATTAAAACAAAAATACGATCACTGATCATATATATACCACATAATTAATTTTACAACAGCTAGTACAATCTAAGTCCACGCCTGAAAACCTAGCTAGTTGCTATGTATATGGCTCCCAGTCCCAGTCCAGTAACAAGTGGTTGACCTTCACCTTTGTCCTCGTTGTCTCGTTGATTGTTGAGCTAGTTGGAGTTTGTTCTAACTTAACATTTTCAATTTTTAACATGTTTATTAAGGTTTTGTTTTATTCAATTTGTTTCGTCTAAATTGTTATTAGTTTGAACCGAGCAAAACTAACTTGAGCGCTGTCTGAACATGTTTTGACTTTAGCATGACTTTTTTGTTTTTAATTTATCTTATCTAAACTTATTTTGATATATATTGTCGAAAAATTTAATGAAACAAAATCGAACCTTTAGATTATGATAAATGTGTTAAGAGATATTTCCTCCATTCTATTAATATTGCAATAATGATGAAATTACGCATCCCAAAACACATTTTATATGCTAAATATCTATAATTGTGTGAGAGTAAAATTTATAAAAAGTTGATATTGTAAAAGTATTTTATGAGACGAATCCAACAAGATCCCACATGACTATATTTTGCTTAACGTATAAATCATATTATATGGTCAAACAAGAGTGATAAATAGTGCAAAAAGTCCATTGTTACAGTATTAATAGAACAGAGGAAGTAGTTGTTTGAACTTCAAAATTGATACGAAATATGATGTATGTATCTAGCTTAAAGTATGTGTATAGGTTTTCTTTTAGGCATAATAATGGAGAGAAAGTTCCACTAAGAGTGATGTTATAGTTTAAGACTAGCTAATAGATAATAGAAAAAGCGAAACACTTGACTTACTTTATAAGCTACATGTATTTTTATTTTATTTTTTTAAAAAAAAGTTACATAGTAACTAAAAGTTTATTTTTGATTGTTAAATTTCGTCTTTTATGCAGGACAAATATATTCACACTAATACCTGATAAATAATGTTGAATTGGTTATTTCATGC